ATCAAATATAGAATGTGAACAAAGAATATTCTTTTAAATTTAACTACTCATCAAGATCCACAGTTATTTATCTAAATTAATACTTTAAAAAAAGTATTGACAAGTTTAATTTTCAATTAGAGAGATGACGATTAGTGTTTTTACACACTTGAAATCATCAATCAATCATTGTTAGACACCACCATTAGAAACCTGGAAGCACTGGATGGCTGTTTCGTCTTGGTATTGGATTCATCAGTGGCATTGCGCATCCACGACTCCTGCACAATACCGAAGGTCCCGAGTTCGAATCCTGCTAGGTGCAGGAGTCGTGGGTTCGCACTACCGATGATTCCCACACCAGGACGCAACAGCCATCCAGTGCTTCCACGTTTCTACTGGTGGTCTAACAATGGTTGACTGATGATTTCAAAAGTTTAATCCTCCTCTGAACCTTAACCTCACACATTCATTAGGGATTTAAGTTATTCAGCATTAGCTAGACAAACTATAATATACTTTACTATACACTAAACTATTGAACTTTGAAAAGTTTTCACTGTCGTATACTAAGTTCAACAAAAATCATTTCTTATTACAAACTGAATTCATTTAAAAAAATAAGAATTAATACATTTCACCTGAATAGCCAATGAAAGCTTTTGAAAGTGTTAGGAATTTTTCTGCATGTATATGTATATATACTTGGTTGCTCAATGCTGTTCAATGTTAAATAAGGATGAAATGGTTGCGACATTATAATATTTGTGTTTTTATGGTTGTTTACTGAAGTAATCACATTATAGGCACACACATGATAGGAGAACATTTCAGATATCTGAATAAACTGTTTCAATGTTGTTTATCACTTATCCAGGATGAAACGAAACTCCTTTATGTCAATCTTATTTTGAATACATTATATACATATAAAGATGAATGTTTTTTTATTTGTCGTTGATTATATTTAAACGAGGATTTATTTATATTACTAACAGTAAGTAGTGATAAATTTTTCATTCTCTAAAGACAGGAAGACAATATAAAGACTTTGTTAATAATAATAATAATAATAATAATAATAATACTAGTGTCTTCACTGATGTTTAACATGAAAATTGATTATGAGAGAGTGAGAAACAATCAATATGCTGAAAATGTGTCAGTAACTTAAACAATAACTAGTTAACCTTTTTTAGCACTTACCTTCAAGAATAATAGGAATAATGGGTTTAGTCATCTTTGTTTATATTGACTTAATACTGTGTTCTTGTTTGTTTTGGAAAAATGTTTATCATCTTCATATCAATGAACATAAATCAATAAACGGTATGGTAAAAAAAAATCGAATGGTGTTTTTCAATCGAAATTTGATATGATGCTGTAATTTATGAAATGAGAATTAGTATAAGATATTTTCTAATTGTGTCATCATTTGTCATGACCATAGAATGATACACTTTTCTTCAATGAACATGTTTTATAAAAATTAAACGGCAAAAAGTCAATTGACAAAACGAATCAATTTCTCACTTTGCGTTTACTCTGATTGATACCTGAGTGGTCTGGGTTGCAATGCTCGGTAGTGAAAGATCTTATAGCTTGTCTGTTTTTCTTTTCAGCAATAGTTAATTTGAATAAAGTTAAGAACAATGCTGTTTACTTGCTTTATTTCATGAAAAAGAACTTACTCAGGTAGATATAGCGTTAGCAATTAATTTCTCATATCATTAATACAATGCAAATTTGAATGAAGTCAGTAATATTGATTAGATGATATAAAAAAAATGGTATGATTTCTATTTATCAACCATTCTACTGTTTTGTTCAACTCAATAAATCATATATTATGCTTCTTTTTCCCTTTATGAGTTCACGCTTAAATATAACTAATTTTGACCCGATATTTCCCTTGTTACCTAATAAATTCGTATGATTGAACTGGACAAAATTTTTTCCCTAAGCCTTACTGCATTGTTTTTTTCTAAACAACATCATCTGCACAGGCTACAAGTAGAAGTGAAATGTTCGAATTTCTCCAAGTATGACTTGTCCTTTTGACATTCATCTTGATTTTTTGTCATTGACCATTAATAGGTCATTATCTTACCGATATGAGTTAAGCCGAAATTGCACAAAGCAAACATTCCACCACGTGCAACTGTATCTTCCGGAACTCAAACATATAATTTATCAAAAGGAATTTCAAAAATATTGAAACGCTTTATGGATTATTCTAATCACTTCATCAAGTCTCCCTTTACATTTCTTGGACAAACTTTAACAGATTCGAATCAACTATGACAGACGAATGATATACTTCGATGCACCAGCATTATTCACCTCCTTCGAACCAAAGTTAGAGAAAGAAACTCAAATCTCCAAAAATACACCAAACGTCAAAGTCGAAACTTACTAAAACTCATCAATTTATGCTTAATACGATTGTAATTCAACAAGAAAATCTATCTAAAAATGAAAAAAACACCAACGGGATCACCAATATCAGAAGCAGTCATGTAGACACTAGAAGACTCGATTTCACCAACGATCAATTCAAAAAATGTAGGTTTGTTATGTAAACGACACACTCATCATCATCATCATCCAAAACAAAGAGCTGAAGAACACCTACAATCTGATCAACAGGGCCTTTGACAACATAAACGTCATAGTGAAAAATTAAACATCATCATTTCTGGATGTATTAGTTACCGGAAATGAGACAAGAAAACTGCAGTAAGTAAGACTTAGCAAAAATGACATCAAGTACACGAACCATCCGAACGTCTTACCATGTATAAAAGACATATCGAAAATCGTAAGAAGATTACTGACACTGTTTGAAGTTAGTGTAGCACATAAACCAACAAAATTATTTCAAACAATTTAATGTGAACCAAAGGATAAAGTGACAACGGAAGAAAAACCAAACATCATTTACACAATACACTGTCAAAACTGAGTAAAAATGCTACATCGTTCAAAGTGGGTGTTTCCTTCGTCTACGTGAACATTAATTTGCAGTTAAACTCTTTGAGATATCCTTCCCTGTGGATGTAAATGCATGCGGACGACTGTGGACATGCTTTTAATTGCATATATCGGACAGAAGAAATCGGGAGAACAGTAGAAAGTTTCTGTAAGCTTGGCACTCAGGTTGATCAACAATCACCTTGAAGTTGATCCATTTTATTGGCCAATCGGAAAGACAAGCATAGGTTCAGTGATCAAATTAGTGAGATGAAATCAATGTAAAGAGGCAAACATCGACAGATTAAAGAGCAATGACAGCAAAATCAGAACGAGGTCAACAGGTCAACAAGCTACGAGTCATACGTGAAGATATTCGCAAACTTCACTTCTATCTGAAGTTTGTGTTGATGATGTTGTTCTGAAAAAAATCACAATGAAAGTTACACGATCAGACCATCCAGCTCCAGCATAGATTAATTGTCGTTTAAAAAAAACCTTATTTTAACGCTCTCGACTGATGAAATGAATGACACATGTTTAAAGGCTGAAAGAATCATTGTTGGGTTCAGTTTTTCTAAAACATTTTGTTGAAAAGCGCTAATTTAAAACTAAAAAATCTTATCTTTAATATTACTGGTTGTTAGCATCCAAGCATTAGAACACAGCTTAAAAATACCAATTCATTTTTACCATTTATTAATGTGAAGCGCATTCACGAAGTGATACTACTTTTGTCACATTTTTTCAGTAACTAACATCCATTGATTTTTTTGAAAAAAACCCAGACATTGAGGCCTAAAATATGTCTGTTATTACCCTCTTACTTACTTACTTACTTACGCCTGTTACCCACAATGCAGCATAGGCCGCCCATCAGTTTTCGCCAACCAACTCTGTCCTGGGCTTCCCTCTACAGTTCTGTCCAATGTTTGTTCATTCTTCTCATATCTTTCTCTATTTCTCGGCATAATGTATTCTTTGGCCTTCCTCTTTTCCTTTTGCCTTGAGGGTTCCATGTGAGGGCTTGTCTTGTGATGCAGTTTGGTGCTTTTCATAGCGTGTGTATCTCTGTTATACAATGAATTTAATTAGATTTCTTAAGCACTTTAGAATTTCTATTACTCCACATAACTAGTAGCTAACTTAACTTTTCTCTATGCTTATTTTTTAAGATTACTTTCTTTTGTTTTCGATTAGATCGTCATCAGGCTACTTTATTCTAATACACATGAATATTTATCTGAAAATGTTAAACCAATCAAGGCAATTTAAGAGTCAATAATCACAATAAAATGAAAAAGGCAAAAGTACAAGTGGATAGTATGAAGATAGGTGAACCGATAGTAGTAGGAAAATTATAAAATATGATAACTAAAGTTTTGTCAATAGTAGGTCAAATGTGGATGAATAGAATTCAGATAATCATCAAAAAAAAACCAAAAACACTACGTAATAAGCAAATGTGTAAAAATAAAAATAAAATGAAAAATTAAAAAATATAATGTCAATCGTTAGTTACGTATTGTCCGACCACGGAAGAGATGGGGGTGTCACGAATTTCTTCTGAACACATAAATTAGGGTTGAATGTACGTATTCCTATGGCTTCTGCAATGTGTAGGAGACGGGATCGAACTCCGTTGCGAAACGATGGAGGTATACGATAGATCACCCGAAAAGATCTAGATTTATCTACAATGTGACCACTATCTACCAGGTGTTCTAAGATAGAACTGCGTATTGTTTTTGACTGACCCTTCGTAAACCATGCTGGGAGATGTTCACTCATTCGTTGGTTAAGTTGCCTGGAAGTACTCCCGCCAGCTATCTCCATAGGAGCAGCTGAATTTGTAAATGCACATAGAGGAGGCCAACTCAGGTAACTTATCCTTCGTTTGGGTAGACATATTAGAGTAAAGCCTGATGACGATCTAATCGAAAACAATATTGTTCGCTTATATGTGTTGTTCTAATTTTCACAATGGGAATCTTTAATATACTTTCTTTTGTTCACATTTTGTTTTTTAATTTTTTCACAATGAAAAGCGGATGGCACAGGAGGTGGACTGATTCAATTCACAAAAAATTATTACAATTTAAATGATATTCATGAATCATTTGACACAATTCAACCATTTCCTAATGAAAATGAAATAAATCGATTTTTACAAACAAATGATCCTTTTCATACTACTACCATTTCTACTCTTGCTACTACTAACAACAACAACAATTATAACAATAATCATAAAAATCTAATTGAAATTGAAAATTTCCACTGGATTATTCTAGGCAGTGTTATTGGTTGTGCATTAGTCATTATGATTATTATTACTTTGGCGTTATTTAATCGTTGTCGGACAATGAAATTATCTACCAATTTAACTAAACGGTATGTTCCCCCTTTTTTAAAATGTTTGTTTAAATTTATCTCTATTATTATTATTATTACTACTATTATTATGCTAATAACATGTTATTTTTATTAAAGATGTTTAATTTTCTTTCAAAATCAAAAACAAAAAAAACATAAGCTAAATTTTAATTTGTTTTAGTTTATTCATTTTCGGTTTTATTCTTTTCTTATCATCAATAACTTATTGACTGATTTAATAAGGAGTGGAATTTCATAAATAATGAGGTTTTATTTTCGGGGGGAGATTTAACAATAAACTACTATGACAAAAGATATTTGTGCACACATTTGAAATCATCAATCAATCATTGTTAGATGATCACCATTAGAAACATGGAAGCACTGGCATGGGCCGTTTCGTCCTGGTATTGCACTAATCAGCAGTGCGCATCCTCGACTCCTGCATCTCACAGGATTCGAACCCGGGACCTTCGGTATGGTGCGCGAAGGCCTAACCGTTGGACCACTGGGCCGGGATCTTACGATGCTTCCATGTTTCTAATGGTGGTCTAACATTGATTGATTAATGATTTTAAATGTGTAAAATAACAATAATCTCCATAACTCTAATTGAAAATATCGCAAAATCTGCTCACTAATTACTGGTTTCGTGAGGAAATTCTCGGAATTCTAGTGAGAAGACGTGACCAGTGGAGTTCAATGCTGTCTGGTGTAGGCAGTAACTATCGAAGACAAATAGGTGAGGTCGCTCAAAATCCCTAGATCAATCAGAGTTAGACATTAAAACCGATGGATGCTGGTCCAGTGGTCCAATGATTAGGCATTCGCCCACAACACCGAAGGTCCTGGGTTCGAGATGCTGGAGTCGTGGATGCGCACTGCTTATGAGTCCCATACCAGGCCGAAACAGCCGTCTTTCAGTGCTTCCATATTTCTAATGATAGTCTAACAATGATTGATTGTTGATTTCAACTGTGTAAAAGAAGCACAAATCTCCATAAATCTAATTGAAAATATTTCTATGCACTTGCTGTCTTTGCTCATAAACCTTTTGATTATTATTTTATCATAGATTAAATTAATAAAAAAAAAGTTAAATAAGAAAGCCTAATAACATTTGGCGCCAAATTAGTAGCGAACCAGTGGACATTGGATAAGATGAAAGTGAAAAAGTACTTTCATTATTTTTATTATTATTATTATTCATGATGATGATAATGTTAACAATATTATGATCATCATTTTCCAGACAATATAAACAAGCATTACAAATTAGACATGATTTAGTAATAATAAATTAGACAGAATAAAAATGAAAAGTATGCAAGAAAAAAAAGAAAGTAAACAAAGAAGGAAATATTAAACTCATCGATCAATATTTATGGAATCATTCTAATTCAGACGAGAAAATTTATCAAGTTAAAGATAGGAGAGATATTCTTTCATATTACTCAATGGAATAAGGAATCTCATCATTACAGTTGAATGAATATTGAAAAATGTACAAATAAGTTAGCTGATGATACATTTTATGTCAGTAAATAAATGAATTTTTGTCATGTATTGAGTACTAATCAAAATCTTGTTTGTCTAGTCCTTTTTTCGCTGATCATATAGTCTGCTGAAAAATTGTTTGAATCTTATATAAGGGCAGTAGTTATCACAAGCTAACAGGTACACATTAGTAGTGATAACTGCCTAATGAAGTGAAATATAGATGGAGAGGTTTAATGTTGACTGACTTGAATCACTAGACAAGCAACAACTTTAGATAGAAAAGACGTGTGAAAATACGATTGAATGCAGAACTTTAAGATGAATGTAGTTTTCTCTGTTTCATTGCATTCTGTAACATCTTTATGAAGACCATTCAGTGAATTGTACATGTCCATGTATTCAGTGTGTTTCTACAACAACAAAAAAAGTGATTCGTTAAAGAGAACTTTTTTTATACATTTGAAATCATCAATCAATCATTGCTAGACCACCATTAGAAACATGGAAGCACTGGCAAGGGCCGTTTCGTCCTGGTATCGGACTCATCAGCAGTGCGCATACACGACTCCTGCATCTCGCACGATTCGAGCCCGGGACCTTCAGTATTGTGCGCGAATGCCTAATCATTGGACCACTGGACCGGCATCCAACAGTGTTAATGTCTAACTCTGATTGATCCACGGATTTTGCGTGGCCTCACTCATTTGTCTTCGGTAGTTACTGCCTACACCTGACAGGGTTGAACTCCACTGATTACGTCTTCTCACTAGAATTCCGAGAATTTCCTCACGAAGCTAGTCACTAGTGAGCACATTTACTCCTGCCCCAAAAAACCCTTTTTTTGTTAAAAATATCTCATTTTTCTGGTTTCACATTGTAAGTGTTTATGTTCTATAGGGTAATCAAAATCTATCATTTATTGAGCAAAGGAATGCTTACAATGTGATGTATATAATTCAGAGTTGGTTTTCATTATATACCTACTATGTGCTCACTACCTACTGACTAGTAACTAGATGGATACCTTCAGCTGATTAAATCATTGTGTTCCAATTCATTGTTTTGCAAGTTTTTTATACAAAATCACAAACCTCTTGAATTCTCACTCATGTGTTGTAGAGAAGTCTCAATGTTACAGGGCTAGAATTTAGAACGAAATAGTTAGCTACTTCTAGTCACATTCTAAATATTCTCTCGTTAAACGAAGGTCATTGCAAAGAAATAATAACTCAAAAACATAAAGCTCACTTTAAAATATCTGTTTATGTTGGTTTAATTAAGTTTTATTCAATACCAACTGATATCGACTGAAATGCAGTTGGTACTCCTTCATTTTTGTAAAGTTTCTGTGTATGATCTGAAGGCCTACTGACCAGATTTTTCGAAAAATTATGGTCGCAAATTGCTGAGAAGTTTCCCTATAAGATGTAACAAATTTTCAGTCGGACTGATACTAAACTATCTTGAACAAATTTCAATTTACAAAGTCTGCAGCCAATTAAAAGTCTCATCTCGATTTACATTCATCAATGAATATACATTAAGTCATTAAAATCTGGTGATTAGTTTACTTGATAATTCGGACATTTATGTCTGTTTAATGTGGTATGACGATCCTTGGATTTAAGTTGACTGACTTAAACCACTAGAAAAATTGTAGTGTGTCAATTTACTGCGTGTTCTTAAGCTAGGTAATTAGCTCGTCTAGACAATCGTTACTAACTAACGTCTGACGGTTTATAAATCAGGAGGTAAACTCATAGTGATGAATACGTTTATTTGGGACACATCACAAAGCAAAGCGGAGAAGCAGCGAATAAAACGAATAAAGCCATGTGAATTGGAGAAGACTGTTGAGCCAACTCCTAGGATTACAATACGAACGAATGGGCGAAGGAAGCGAGTGAACAGGCGAAGAGCGTTGGAGAAGACTAATGAGCCAACTCCCAGAGATAGAGCGTGACTATAAGAATATATAGTCAGACAAATATAAGACAGACATGCGACAAGAGGAATAGGCACACATGAATAAAAGCGACGAATAGTTGACAAGGTCAAATGACAAATGGGACACGTCATGTGAGCTCCTCATACAAACTAGACAATAATAAGAACGAATGGTACAAATAAATTGTTGCAATACAAGTAAGTGGCTTGGTTAAATAAATTAATCGAAAGGGCTTATTCAAGTTAGATTTAAGCGCTATAAAGTATCAAATTCAAATGTAAAGGACGCTTTAAAATACACTTGAATACAGGAATATGAGAATAATCTAGTTAGTTTCCGGTGCAACACCTTTATGACTACATAGAGAATTGTGCGTGTTCAAATACTCGATGAGTCCACTGCTTAGATTTATTGAGAGATTCTAGGTGCAAATTGTTGAGGAATCTCACATTCAGATGTAACGAATTTCCAGCGTCCTCTGGTTTCCAGTGAGACTTATACCGATACGGTAGATACATTAAATTACCCAAACCATTGATTATTTTACTGGATAATTCAGACATTTATATCTGTTTAATGTAGATACACATTTTGAAACCATGAATCGATCAATGTTTGACCACCATTAGAAACCTGGAAGCACTGAAAGACGGCTGTTTCATCCTGGCATGGGACTCCTCAGCAGTGCGCATCTACGGCTCCACGACCTCGAACCCAGGACCTTCGGTATTGTTGGGGAATGCCTTACCATTCAGGTTTCTAATGAAGTTCAACCTGTTTGGGTGCAGACAGTAACTATCGAAGACTGTGTATAAGGTTGCGCAACTACGTGAATTGATCAAGTTAGACATTAACACCGTTAGATACCGGCTCAGTGGTCCGATGGTTAGGCATTCTCGCACAATGCCAAAGGTATTAGGTTTGAATCCTGCAAGGTGCAGGAGTCGTGGGTGCGCACTGCTGATGAGTCCCATACCAGGAAGAAACGTCCGTGTTTCAGTGCTTCCAGGTTTCTAATGGCGGTGGTCTGACATCGATCGATTCATGGTTTGAAAAAAATGTGTAACTTAACAATCTTCACAAACCCGTAATGTGGATACGACATGATTTTGTTCAAGAAAATAATTTTTTTTTATTAACTGAATGTAAACTAGTTTTTCTATTTCTATGATCATATTAAAATATCATTTGACAAATTGACAGACATTTAACTGGATTATAATTCAATTAGAAATGATTTATGAAACGAAAAAAAATGGCCTACTTATATTAATCATCATAAAAGTCAACTGGGCTATAAACAACACAATGAACATGAAATAACAATATTCAAAGCAAATAAATAAGAAGACTCCAAAAAAATTGATCAAAATTCAATTATTTTATTGCTATTGTTTTTTTATACAAAAAAACTAATCAATCAACTATTATACAATATTTTGGGGCAGACTTTTGGAGGTTTGTGTTTTTGCACATTTGAAATCATCAATCAATCAATCATTGTTAGACCAACATTAGAAACCTGGAAGCACTGGATGACCGTTTCGTCCTGGTATGGGATTCATCAGTG